TTGCCATGAAATCTTCATTTACCACACTTCTTCGTCTACTCACCTAAACTTTATCATCATTCCCTTCCTAAGCATCAATTTTTTCCATTCCCTCCCACCCATTCTAATGCTCTTCGAATTTCCTTCCCTTACCTACGTTCCTCTTAAACTCATGCTCTACCACACCTATTATCATTCTCTCCCTAAGCATCAATTTTTTCTTCCTAAGCTCTTACGTACGTTCCTCCTGAACTGATCTTCTTCCTCGCCTACTTCTTCCTAAGCATCAAATTTTCCCAGTGCAAGAGATCCATCCGTCCAGCCCAATTACATAACAGAATTCGCTGATCTTACCCGATATACAACAGAAAAAAAATATTGCACTAAAAAAATTGTACGTACGATGGTACGTAAAAAAAATGGTACGTAAAAATAGTCGGATTAGTCATTTTCGCGCGTAAATTGCTACTCTTTTAAGAAAGTGGGGACGGAGACAAAGATAAGGACAAGCAAGCGGATAGTTCTGCTGATATATTTTGCTTTAAATATCAAATTACATTAATCTATAAGCAAGCTCACCGTACCCATAGCATAGGGCTGCACGGGCAACCCTACCCGTCCTCCATACAAAAAATTTTTCGCTGGTCGTGTAAGACACCAGCCGAGCCGAACCGAGCAGTGCCGAGTCGAGCCGAGTTTTAGTAATTGCTGAGTTTCGTACTCCAGCAAGAACTTGATAGGCGTCATCGTGTTGCACAAGTCCGTAAATGAAATCGTGATTGGTCAGATTCGCTGCACTGATGTCCATCCGATTTCAAATTCTTTTCTTCCGAAGGCATAGTGACAGGTTGTGAATAGTTTCAGCAGCTCAATTTTCTTTGCCATGAAAAGCAAGTAGTCCGGGCGACGTGCTACACGTCGGTCATAACGCATGGCGAAAGATTTGCAGATGTCCGAATACGACATGGGCCGGCCTTGAAAAATCGGCTCTAATTTTGTTCCGCCAAAAATTGTCGGGAAAGACAAATATTCCGTGTCGTTGCCTATGAGAATTGATATGGGCCTATGTCCTTCTGCTGGTGCCATCCTTACCCCGCACGGTATTTCGTCTGTCATTACCATTGTTTCCTGTACACCTGCATTATCAGGCTCCGCCTCATCTGCGTCGAGACCTTCTTCCGGTTCCTCCGGTTCTATATTTGTATCGACAACTACTATGTGGTCGTGCTGCTGCAGCCAATTGTCTGGTATAGCTATGTTGTGAGATTGATATAGTGGCTGAGCGCAGAGGTACCTAGCAATTTGCCACACTAAATGCGGTCGTACATTACCAGAAACGTAGTTTCCTCTGTACTCCATTCGTCGTGCAATGCGAACGTGCACAATGTGTGTGTCGCTTGTAGGTCGAGGAAGCATCGAGACAGTGGTATCTACGGGAACGGGAACGTTAATAATTCCACTTTTACATCGGAACTGCCCTGTAGAGCCAAATGAGGGCCAGACTGTCTGAAAGATATGGCGGGCCGCTACTAGCCTCTCTTCTAACCTTGTTAAATCACTAATTATCTGA